TATATATATATAGTATATACTATACTATTTATTAAAGATAACTATGGCCAAAAAAGGTTGGGCCACAGTTCTCTTTGAAACTTGATCAGTGTTGAGTGCCCTTTTTTTATAGTCATAATGATTACACTTAAATGAATAAAACCATGAAGAGTGACAACTGGGGGATTGGACTGTGGGGATTAGTCTAGTAACTACAATGATTTTCTATCAGTCATCAGCTCTTGCTGCAAATGTGCAGGAGCTTTAACTGGCGTTTTTGACAAAAATAAAGACAGCCGGAATAGACTGGGATTGCTGAGTTTTCATTTTTATGATTTTTATTAAACAAGGAAATGGGGAAAGCATTTTGCATAGTTCTAAAGTTAATGTTAAATCTGGTGTATGAATTTGTGCTTCTTTACTTTTTTGGTGGAGCAAAGGGGTGTACAGGATGTACTAAAGATTTGCAAAGTACTGTTACCTATAGGAACAAATTAGAATCATTTCTAAACTGGGCTGGCAGGAGTGATCTAAAATGAAATTGCTTGATGTAGGATACTCTATATATCATCCTTTTGTATTACAGAATAACCCCAATCAATACCAATGCAATTTCTCTATATTAGGCACATATCATAGTGAGCTTCATTTATCTTTTTTTTTTTTTATATAAATAACGCTGTATATTGCCTCCCATCAATAACCACATTCAAACCTACTCTTGAAAAGCAGAGATGAAGAATTTGATGGTTAACAGGGCAACATAATCTCTTGACTAATGACTGTTATACCACACAGGTGCATTCCACAATGATAAGTGTACAGTAGTGTATTACTCCTTTTTGGACAGTATATAGCTTTCCAGATCAGTGAGGGTCAGAATGACATTCACTTATTGAGCATTTTCATAAGGAGATTAAAAATGGCAGCCCCAATATGTCTCCCATGGCAGGTTTACTTTGAATCAGACTTGCAGAGTAAAAAAATAAATATCTTGTACCTGCTTTATCCACGTTAGATATAATTGCCTTTACATAGTCTTTTTTTTAAGCCAGCAATGTTGGAAATTGTCCAGAATGGTCGCAGTTTGCAGAATTTTCAGCAAATTAGTAATTATATGCTCTCTAATTGCCATTATCATTATTTAATTCTGGAGAGGCAAGCCTTTCTCAGGGAGCATATTATATTTTATACATCGCATTTATTGCATTTATAGTATTACATTAGGGTGAGAAATCAAGGCTAAGGTCACTACCCAGCCAAGAGGGTTATTACTGTTAGCTCTTAGTACATACTGATTATAAATTGTAAGCTGTCAACCTTAGCACTGCCTCAGCGGGATTCAGGTGTAGAGAATTCCTGTCTAACCCAGTAGTATCTCCGTATTTAGACATTATTCTTATACTGGGTGTCATAGAAACAGTTGCTTAGCAACTTTTTCAAGCATTTTCTAAGTAGTTCGTTTGGCCAAACGTATCATGTACAGTTCATATTGCGTTCACAAACTGTGTAGTTCTTTTGTGGAAGATCTGTTCTCTTGCATCAGAATTTTTGTTGAGGTATATGAGTTGTGCATTAAATCGATTCATTTAGGTTTAATGATTACCAGCAAAAATGGGGCTTTTCCAGAACAGGCAAGGTTGGAGGTGGTGGAGGATAGAGCAGGGGTATCATGGTAGTGACCAAAACAGTGGTGACATTAGGTGGGGGGACTGCAGCTGCGACCATGTGGGAGTTGGGGGTCAGGTGCAGTGGAGAGGGTGGGGGAATATTATTTTTAGCAACACACCTCTGTTTTTTACCTGGAACTAAGGAGGAATTAATAAGCCATTTTACTTCCTGTATTTTTTTTTAAACTATGAGATGTATACCAGAGAACTAAGTATTGCTACATTTCCTATTATGTCATTATCATATCTCCCTATTCATTAAATAAAATAAGCCACCTTGCCACTAAATTATACCAGCTTGGCAACAACAGGCATAGGACCTGGTACCTTCATTAAATAGGAACTTTACTCTCCAATTTAATGTCTTCCAAAACAGTAACTTTTAGGGCCCATTCACACCACATCCAGATCATCTCCAGACCAGATTATTTCCCGACCCCAAATGCATCCTAATGTATCCCTATGCTATTTCGGGGCTTCTGTTCACACCAGTGCAGTCCGTTCCAGACCAGACCAGACCAGAAAATGGTGTGAATAAAAAAATAAAACCCCCAGTGGTGAATAAATACCACCAAAAGAAAGCTCTATCTGTCCCCAAAAAAGGGTATAAAATTCATTTCAGTACAGCGCTGCATGACGGAATAAATGTCAGTTAAAGTACCGCAGCGCTGAATACTGAAAAATGGCCTGGATGGGAAGGGGGTTTAACACCGCGGATGTCAACTGGTTAAAGCATGCCAACTGCCAAGATTGTCAGTGTGCTTATTTCAGCTCTCAACCCAACTTTCATCCCTTTAAATGGCCGGTGTCATAGCTGATCACATGTGCAGCATCATGGCAACTGCAATCCAAAAGGAGGCTAAGATGGCACCATCCTTGGCTGTAAAGGATTGGAGGTTGTTCTGCTTTAATGCCAGCATACAGTATATACAGATCATTTGGTACCGCTCACTTTTCCCATAGTTTTAAAACAAGAATAATGGACTTTCAGCTTAATGAGAAAATTAGTTTCAGTTTAAAACTTGATGGTATTCAAACCTGGTGCAGATGAAGGTGGTGCATTTGTCCATAGCAAACACTTTTCGTAGGGTTTTAACATTCCTTTCTCTAGTAAAAGCTAAATTCCAGACAACAGGTAAATAGAGAGTGGAAATTCATATTGAGGGGAATTTATCAAAACTGGAGCAGACAAAATCTGGAGCAGTTGTCCATGGCAACCAATCAGCTTCTCTCTTTAGTTTGTTCAGTTAAGATTTGAATATGAAAGATAGAAGCTTATTGGTTGCCATGCACAGTTGCTCCAGATTTTGTCTGCTCCAGTTTTTGATAAATCCCCCTCACTGTATATTAGAACTTACCTGCCAAAGGATTTCACTTTCTATTCATCCACTGCTGATATTTTCCCAGTCCTACCAAACAGCACAAAAAGCCCAAGGCTTTTGTGAATGCTGAGTTAGCAAACCGCCGCTCAATGCTGCGCTGCAAGTCAACGCTCAGCACTGAGGCGTGTT